GATGAGCTGGAATATGAGATCAACATACGGAAGGTCACCGGCCTCCAAGAATATTTAGGTGATTAGCAGGCAGCGAGATTCACGCGTCCGCCTCGGACTCCATCAAACCTCTGGTGAGTTGTTAACCTTGTGCAATAAATTTAATCAGATCCAGGAAATAGAAACTTACATTTGGGCTGACAACATTTTTCCTAATCAGTACACCAGGATTATGATGCGCCTATGCCAGCTGACCTACGGGACTCGTGACCTTGCCGACAGGAAAGTTTCAGACCAGTCCAATCCTGCCTCCCTAGACAAATTGCCTGAGGGCATTTCCCACTTCGCGTCGTCTGTGGAGGAGTTTCAAAGCCATCTCTGCCAGCCCTCCCAGGATCCCACTCACAAACCCCATTCTCTTGATCATTTTACCTCTGACTCTAACCGGGCTCTTATTTCACAACACCAAGAATAATTATAATCCATTTATAAAAACACCAAGGAAGCCTACTGCTCTTACCTTTGCAAAATGGCTAAGGAAAACTCTTGGATTGTGGTCTCTCTTCTCTGCCACTTTACCCAGCGCTCATCTTGTATTCCACAATCCTCTCCTGCAGCATACCATATCTGTCAACATACACCAGTCCTGATATTTTAGCCACAAAAATTATAGCTGAAGTATAATCTATCATAGGACATATGACCGTCTAACAAAACAGCACGCCATTTCCGATGGACATGCGATTTCTCCTATTAAAGACAGGGCGAAGCATACCTAGTCTTTGAGCTGCCTTTCTGTATTTTGATGACAAATCAAAGGGAATTATCAAATGGGTAAACACGTGGAGAGATAAGAAATAGATACAAAATTTTAGTCAGAAAACTTGAAAGGAACAGACCACATGGAAGACAAAGGCTTGGATAAGGGATAATATTAAAATAGATTTTTAATAGTTCCTTAGGAATGGACTGGTCAGGGGCCAGTCGTACATACTTGGTCATCACGATAATGAACCTTCCGATCGCACGCAAGATGGGGAATTTCTTCATTACCCGAGAGACTACGAGCTTCTTACGATAAACTCTGCTCCATGGAGTTAGTCATATGAGATAAATGGCCTACATCTGCAATTTTAAAAATAAAAACACTCAGAACAGCGAAACAACAAACAAAGATTCACTTGACCGCTGACCTTGCTGGCAGTGGTGAAACACTTCTCTGCCGTGTCCAACATCTTCTCCTTTCGATTCTCCAATATCTCAAACATCTCCAGGCTGAGGCTGTCTGTTTCCTGCAGACACACAGTGTTCAATGGTTTACAAAAATTACAATGCAATAATGAGAATGTTTTGTTAATTAAATGGCTTCCCTGATGATGTGAAATTGTAGGTGCAGATAATGGCTATGTCTTCTGTTCTGTCTGTCAAAGATGACGCAGTGTTTCATCTCTGTGGAGAGTTTTGTTACAGCCAATCTCCAGTCTGGAGTCTCTAATGTGTTCCCAACTCCTGGTGGAGATATGAAGACCCATTTGGTCAAGTAAACCTTACTGCATTAGCAGAGGATCTTGTGCACGCCAATCTTTGAGTCTGGAGTCGTCTGCTTCGGTTCCACAGAGGACAGACAACTCCAAAATCAAGAACTGGGCATGTACAACAGGATCAGTCACACCTGCACCATCAGGGAAACCACTGAAATAAGAGAGCACCTTCAAAACTTCAACTGTAAAGATGTGTACAGACCGAGTAAAGACTCTTATC